CGGTCGCAACCTCACCAAAACCTTGAAACTCATCTTCACTGGCACTTCCATCTGTATCAGAACTGTCACTGGGGAACAAAAGTGTCCCAATTCGCCGAGGAGTGAGGAACTACTTACCGCAAGGCATGGTGAACAAGGTCTACTAAAATGGCGTTCCCACAATGCGCCACTGGGTCCCAGATTTTTTTTTCTACCGCGCACACTGACCACACACACCCATTCTCTCACATCTAGGCCTACCAGCCTTTTCCTGCGAGATTTGAAGGTGCTAGAATTTATGCGTACCAGTACGTCAAAAACCATGGCGTGTAAGTCACACTAGTACGTTGGAAACCCTAAAAGGGTTAATAATAATAATAATAATAATAATTATTTTAGGGAATTAGATCTATGCTCCAGTTCCCAAAATTAATAATAATAATGAGGGTGCTTCAGTTCTCTAAATTAATAATAATAATAATAATTATAATAATGATAATAATAATTATAAAATAATAATAATATTGAGGAGCTTCAGAACGCCTCCAACTCAGTGCACTATTTATCTTGCCGTGGAAGCATTTTTCTTGTGTTTTGCTTGCATTTTGTGCAGTCATTTTGCCAAATTTCTTTTTTCTAACCATGGGTCATAAGAAAGTAAGTGCAAAGGACAGTACTGAGAAGAAAAAGAGGATGATGTCCATGGAATTAAAGCATGAAATCAGAGATAAACAAGCAAGGTGTGCAGGTTGTAGGTTGAGGGGGAAGCGAGGGAAGCTCGCTCATAACTCAGAGCAAAAAATCGACCAAGTGACAGCTCGTATCTCAAAAAGCTTGAATTTTGGGACACTTGTAAGACAAGATTCCAATGTTTTGTATACAGATTTATCTTTACATTTTTTTTTTTAAGGGTGATGTATGAAGCTGAGTTTGAAATTTAAGTGTTTTGGGGGCATATTTAGGTTTTAAACTACAAAAGTAAGAATTTATAGGCATTTTTTTAATGACGTCCAGAATTTGCGGTTTTTCCAAATTCGCAGGTGATCTTGGAATGTAACCCCTGTGAATTTGGGAGGAACTACTGTACAATGCCTGCACTTTAAAGGAGGGGTTTAGGATATTGGCAGTTTGGAGGGACATCTAAACTGTTGTGTCTGAGCGCCTCTGCAAAGACAGTGATTATGTATGAGTGATGGTGAAAGTGTCAAATAATGATGAAAGTTTTTTCTTTCTTTTTGGTTTTTTCTTTCTTCATGGGTCACCCTGCCTCGGTGGGAAATGGGTGATGTGTTAAAAAAAAACTTTACCTATTATTATCAACATCATTATTAATTTTTTCAACATATTGGCCATGTCCCACCGAGGTAAGGTGACCTGAAAAAGAAGAAACACTTTCACCATCACTCACTCCATTACTGTCTTGCCAGAGGCAATATCCCCACCCCTCCTTCAGAGTACAGGCACTGTACTTCCCACCGCCAAGACTCAAGTTCAGCTAATCGGTTTCCGTAAATCCCTTCATGTTACCTTACACTCCAACAGCATATCATTAAAATCACTTGCCTCCACTCAGTCCTATCTAACATACTCACACATATGCTTGCTGGATGTTCAAGACCTTTCCATACAAAACTTCCTTTACCCCCTCCCTCTAACCCTTCCTAGAACGTCACCTACCCTATCTTCCTTCCACTACAGATTTGTGAGCCCTCCAAATCATCCCATTTTGTTCCATTCTTTCAAAATGTTTGAACCACCTCAACAACCCATTCTCAGCCTTCTGGAATGGGTTGTTGAGGTGGACCCTCGACTTACGATATTAATCCGTTTCAGAGAGCTCATTGTTAGACAAAATTATCGTTAGTTGAATTAATTTTCCCCATAAGAAATAATGGAAATCTAATTAATCCATTCCAGACACCCAAAAGTCTGAAAAAAAAAATTTTACCACATGAAACATACATTTTCCTACACAGGAAAAGAAGGATACATGCACAATATACTGTACTAAATGAAGAATAAATGACACTTACCTTTATTGAAGACGTAGTAATGAGTGATGAGACACTGTTTTTCTAGAACACTCTGGGATTTTCAGAGTGATACATGAGTAAAGGCTTCACTTTGCAATCCCCACTAGCATTATAAGAAAACATGAGAGTTAGCCTGTCTTTTATATGCTTGTGTCCTGGGAGTGCCTTTTCCTTCTGAGTAATGTAGGTCCTGTTTGGCATTTTCTTCCAGAACAGGCCTGTTTCGTCACAATTAAACACTTGTTGGGGTTGGAATTTTTCAGCTTCACCATGCCTTATCACACTGTGTATGCCACTATGATTCTTAAATCTCTCAAACCAACCTTTGCTGGCGTTAAATTCACCAATATGAGAACTAGCTCCAGGCATTTTTTCCTGTTCACCTGGGTGTTAGTTGACTAGGGTGGGTCACATCCTGGGGGACAAGATTAACCCTTTCAGGGTTTCCGACGTACTAGTACGGCTTACGCACCAGGGTTGATGTACTAGAACGCCTAAATTCTAGCGCCTTCAAATCTAGTGAGAGAAAGCTGGTAGGCCTACATGAAAGAATGGGTCTATGTGGTCAGTGTGCACAGTATAAAAAAATCCTGCAGCACACAGTGCATAATGAGAAAAAAAAACTCCGATCGTGTTTTTAGTTTAAAGCAGCGACTTTGCAGTGTATTTCCGTATGGTATTTATGGTTGTATTCTAGTTTTCCTGGTCTCATTTTATAGAATGGAAGACATATTACAGAAACTGAGATGATTTTGATTGGTTTCATAATGAAAAGTACCTCGAAATTGAGCTCAAAGTAGCAGAAATGTTCGATTTTACCAAATTCAAAAGTAAACAAATCATGCCACGCTTCCAATACACGTCAACTGGTGAGTCTAATATTCTTTCACAAGTGCACTGATATTATTTATACCATTTCTACACTAATGTAGTAGTCTGCATAACAGTAAATCTTCTACTATTTGCGAGAATAAAAATTCAAAGTGGAAATCAAAAGAGATGCAAGAGGGGCTGGGGATGTGACTAATGAACAGAGGAAATGTTATTTTAGTGCCAGGAATGTCTGTCTTGCTTATTCTGGACCCTATTTGGAAATTGGCATCTTCTGAAATTTGTGTGAAATTGGCAAAATTGCCAGTTTCTGATCACTTTATTGGATACTTGAAATCGGTAAATGGGTGGTTTCTTTTACTCATTCTATAGAAAAAATGGAGTTCTAGCGAAATAGATATGATTTTTGTCGATTAGTACACTGAAATTGGCCGAAAATAGGGCTCAAATTGGGCGAAATCACCGATGAGTAAACATAGTCGAGACCGCTAACTTTGCGAGAGCATAATTCTGTAAGCTTTCCATCAAATTTCATACTTTTGGTGTCATTATGATCAGGAAAAGATTATCTATCACTTCATAAGAAAAAATATTTTTTTTTTTTCCAACAAATTTTCTACCCTGAGAACGGTTAGGAGAGGGCCCTCTCGACCCTGAAAGGGTTAAGGACCCCAATGGCAATAAGTTAGACAGTCCTCGATCATGCACTGACTTTCTTGGGTTATCCTGAGTGGCTAACCCTCTGGGGTTAATTGCTTCTCGGTAATTGTTTCTCGTTAACTCACACCAACAACACTTTCTCCACATCTTCAAGTAGTACAGCTGACGGTGGTGCAGCAACAGCTGACAGTGGTGCAGCAGCAGCTGACTGTGGTATAGCAGCAGCAGCTGACTGTGGTATAGCAGCAGCAGCTGACCATGGTACAGCAGCAGCTGACCCTGGTACAGCAGCAGCAGCAACTAACCATAGAACAGCAGCAGCAGCTGACTGTGGAACAGCAGCAGCAGCTGACCATGGAACAGCAGCAGCAGCTGACCATGGAACAGCAGCAGCAGCTGACGGTGGTGCAGCAACAGCTGACCATGGTACGATAGTATTTCTCACCCTTTTTACCACAGGGTTGGCACTAGAAGCTTTCTTTGGACCCATGGTGGCTTATTTAGCAGTTACAAGCACTAAAAACAATGGAACAATACAAAATTTATTGAATGTATGCATGCAACCGTCTGCCCTGGCTTGTAAACAATGGCACTAGCTGAGCTGAGGCACTCTGGCCAGACGGACCGCGTTCGGGACGAATGATATAAGCTGAGTTTTTCTTCGTAGGTCGGGGAAAACTTTTTACGCTGAAACACTTCGTAAGTCGATTCTATCATTAGATGAGGCCTTCGTAAGTCGAGGGTCCACTGTATTAGTAATCCCGCATGTCCTTCTAATCTCCAAACTACAAATTCTCTGCATAATGCTCAGACCACATATTGCCCTCAGACATGACTTCTCCATTGCCTCCAAACTCCTCCTTGTTGCAACATTCACAACCCACACAATATTATTATTACATTATTATTATTACAGTGGACCCCTGAGTTTCGAACCTTCTTCGTTCCAGAAGGCTGTCCAAGTGCTGATACCTAACGAATTTGTTCCCGTAAGGAATAATGCAAATTAGATTAATCCATTTCAAACCCCCCAAAAATACACTTATAAAAGCACTTACAATATTACACTTACATAATTTGTCGAGTTGGGAGCAGTTCGAAACTTGGGGTACCACTGTATATATTATATATTAGAATTATTATTAATTATTATTATTATTATTCCATATAAATCACAACACTGTTGTCTGGAATAATTTTATACAATAATACCAATGTTCTCTTCCACTGAACTATGCCTTGCCATGGCATGCATTAGGCAAGCTTTATTTCAATGAAGCCTTCAAAAAATAAAAAGATTCACATAGGTAATCAGGCAAAAAAGGATTTAATAAAGGTATCTAGCAATATCTCATATGTACTGTATTGTTTGTATGATCCACTTAAAGACTTCACTACAGCAATTCCAGTCAAATCTTTAGAAAATCAAAAAAGTATTTATCTAAGCAATCAGAAAAAAAGACTAATTAAGAATATCTTACAGCAACTCATACATACTGCTTGTGTGATCCGGTTGGAAGTTTCATTTATGAATGCAACCATAAACCAATCACCAGCCACAGGATATGGGACGGATAAATACGAGGGGCTCAAATCTGAAAGAAGTTGGACCTCATACACCTGGGAACGATTCACCCACAGTCGAGGTGGATATTCTGCACCATCAGGATTCACTACAGGATAACTCTCTGCTTGCAGGAAACTGAAAATAACAAACAGTTTACATTAAGAATAGGGAGCATATAGTAAATCCTCTTATAATGTGGGGGATATGTTCCAGAAAATCAAAGCCTTATGGCAAATAGCTTCATGTGAACTGAAGAACACATGGAAAAAAAGAGGGTTATTTTCCAAAGACCTTTAAATTTGCCAAGCAACATTTTTTTAAATATTCTAAATACAAATTATTACAGTTTATCTTACCTTACATTCTGTCATTACTGACCAACAGAGGGGTTAATATGGTCCTATTGGACTGAGGGGGATGGCTGTGGACGTTATGTTGATGTGGAGGCAGGGTCATCAGTAGCTGACTGTACTGGAGTACTCTAGTGTTTTTATAATGCATTTCTGGTCTGTTTTACCCAGCAGAATTGACCTCTGACATTCTTATTTTCTTTTCATTCTCTTTCTGTATGGATGGTAGATTCTTTCAAGCTAAAATTGCACGCAGTCTGCATCACTTGCATCTAAAATTTTAAATTTTATAAATACTGCCAGTGATTCAAATAATTCTTCCTGGCACCTTCAGCATCCCTAGTATTCCACTTAGGCACCATGAGACAAGATAGGGTGGTGAAAAAGATTCAAAATTGTTTGGTAAATGCATACTGAGAAGGCACGTGATGTTACCAGAAAGCAACTCTAGGCAGCATGGGGAAGGGAAGGAGCTATGGTCTGCCTAACACTTGACTCTTACAGCCACCTTGGGTCAGAGGGGAAACAATCTACAGTGCTGGCAACCAAGATGCTTCCACACTTACGAAGCATACTATCAGGCACTATGCAAAAACAGAAGCACTTTTTTCAATCACTTTAGAGAAAAATCACTATACAGTGTCACTTTATAAGAGGGTGTACTGTGCTGTATAGTAAAAAAAAAAACATTTAAAATACAACTGCATATATTACCTACATTCAGAACAGTACTTAATAAGTAAAATAAGTTGTAGCTTACATGTTTAACAATTTAGTATTTATTCAGAAAAAACACCCATTCAGAAATTTTATAACTCATTAGTACCATTAAGGAACAAATTACATGAGAAATGCACATTTATAAAGAAGTTATCAAAATACAGCACAATATTTTAATTACAAAATATATTTTAAAATATAATGTACTATCTTAGCTACTGTATCAAACATTTCAAGTTTAGGTCAAACAGCCAAATGAATTCTAGAAAAAATATTAAACTTACACAGTAATGCTGCGGGGGTCACATGCCAAGCTGTCATTGGCAGTGAAATTATATAATGCCATAGACACATGTGCAGGAACTGAGAAGTGGAAGATCTGGACATCCTTATATGAACGGTAAACGTATACCTGTCTCCCTGCCAGCACTTCATATAGCACCTTTCCTCCTGCATCATGAAAAAAAAAATATTTGCTGAGCCAATGTTTTTACATTTATCAGATGTCAATTACAATATGCTGCAGTGGGTGGGAAACCACTCTTGGAAAAACACAAAATCCATGTTTTGCATGTTCAAGTGCCTTGCAAATGAGCAAAGTACCCTTAGTTGCCTATTCCTACACATCTTTTGAATTTCTTTGTTTAGCAGCTGACACTCTGACTGTAGGATGAGCCAAGTCATGCTGAGGTAGAAAAGCAGTAACAACAACTGGAGAGGTTTAGATCATGTCCATCAGGTCTACCATCAAGAGATTACAGAATAAACCCCCTGAAAATGCATCCTCCTTGTATAAAATGTGCATCAGGAGTCAAAGCTATTATACTAAGATAAAGAGATTAGGTAGGGCAAGCCATAAAATGTGTGTCTATAAATAACATTCTTCAGGAGGGGAACATGGGAGGGATTGCTCCACTGAAGAGGTATGTACCTATGCAACAGATGTCCAGGGCCTATAAAAATGCAAGTCTATACAATCTCACAATAACATGTATTAAAGTGAGGGCTTGTCCTAATTAAGTCATACCCAAATTGTCTTCATCAAATATGATGAATGATCAAATGATGCAAAGATTTGAAATTACAAAGTTGCAGGGATGAGGGGAAAGAGGGTCACAGGGATCTCTTAAGTAAGGCTCTCTAGCTATTATATCAGTATACTCTAGATACTCGAGATGTTTTTAACAATATTTTTGAAGAAGTTGGCAAATTGGGAGGTTTTAGAATCATCTGGTACAACTACATATTTAAGAGCCATTTATTTTCATCAATGATGACATTGATTTACCTAATTTTAATACAAATGACCCATTGCCATACACTGATGATTATAATTGTTTTATGAAAACAGGCCTTCACTTCATTCATGTCAATGCAAGATCACTTCTTCCTAAATTGGCAGAGATTAGGATTCTAGCTAACAAAATTAGAGCGGCAGTTATAACCATCTCTGAATCCTGGTTGGATGATACGGTGACTGACAACGAGGTCAAAATAGGTTACAATATAAAACGCTTAGATAGGAACAGAAAGGGTGGTGGAGTATGTGCCTACATTAGAAATGACGTAGTTTTCAACCCAAGACCTGATTTAAATAACAATAAACTGGAGATTCTATGGTTTGAAGTGCTGCTTCCCAAGACCAAACCCATCTTAGTAGGAACTAGTTACCGCCCTCCTACCCAGGACCAGTTCTTAGAAGACTTTTCTAGAGTATTGTCCGGACTTGAAAACAATTGAAAGACAATAATACCGGGAGACTTCAATATCTGTTTTCAGCAGCAAAATAACGGGCTATGCAAAAGGTATAAGCAAATTCTAGGTTTAAATAGTTACACTCAACTAATTAATACACCAACCCGGATCACACAGTTCTCAGCCACCCTAATTGACCACATACTTTGTAGCCGCTCTGAGAACATTAGTCAGTCAGGCATCATTACCACAGGCCTTAGTGATCATTTCATCATTTACTGCACTAGGAAAATCACTAGGGATAGGATAGGCCTACACAGGACAATAAAAATGAGGTCAACTAGAAACTACAGTAAAGAAACACTGGTAAATAGGCTACACAATTGTGACTGGACAGTGATAACAAATTGCACGGACGTAAACGATGTCTGGGAAAAATTCAAAACAATGTTCAGTACCATCCTTGATAATATTGCACCAGTTAAAAAGGTTAGGATTAAACGAAGAACTGAACCCTGGATGACTACTGAGATATTAGATAATATGAAATTCAGAGACCAGCTGCTAAAAAGATTTCAAGCAAACAGACAGGATATTGCAGCACTAAATGAATTCCAAAGGGTGAGGAACAGAGTGCAGAGACTTATAAAAGGAGCAAAGGCAAAGCACTAGTAAACCTATTGGTTTGTGGTGTATGTGCCGCTCCCTGACTGCTGAGCAAGTGGCACTGCTATTATTTGCATCATGTTTATTTATGTCTTATATCTACAAACACTGTATAGCACTTGGCCTGGAATTTTTGGGTTATCCTAGGTAATTTACATTATGTATAATAACTGTATTTATGAGTACATGTGAGAGAGAGAAATACAAATAGACAGTGAAATAGACAGATAAACAGAGATATAGACATACAGACAGAGACAGCCAAAGCCAGCCAGCCGTACTGGCCCATGCAAAGCAGGTCCACGTCACCCCCCGGCTTAGACCAATGACCCACCTAGTCAGGTCACATCCACTGAAATAAGGAGCACAACATCTGACCTAGTAGCACAAGCTAGTCAGGTCCAACTCACACCCACTCATGCATTTATCTAGCCTATTTTTACTTTCCTCTTAAAATGTGAGTGTTAATATGACATGACATCAGTGAATCCTTGGTGTTTGCCATGATATTTGCTCTAGCTAGTGCTCAGTTAAACTGGTGCTCCCACAAGGTACTAAGTGCTCCCAGATTTTTTCATAGTGCGCAAATTGAGTGCAGAGACCCATTCTTGCATGTCTAGGCGACTCAGGCCTATTGCACCAAATTTGAAGGAATGAAAAATAAAATGTTGATCTACGTTCAGAGCCTGTTGCATGTGAATGTATATCTATGTGTGGACAGTTTAACCCTTTGAGGGTCCGTGCCATAGATCTACGGCTTTACGTTGAGGGTCCAAACCATAGATCTACGGCATGAGCTCAGCTCACTCAGATAAGCTTTGAGTGGTAAATTTTGACCTAAATATGAGAGAATACATCTATGTGGTATGTGTGCACCACATAAAACAAATCCTGCAGCACAAAGTGCATGAGAGAAAAAAAAAACTGAGACCGTAATTTTCAATTAACCCTTTGACTGTCGCGGCCGTATATATACGTCTTACGAGGTACCGTGTCTGACGTATATACAGTGGACCCCCGCATACCGTTGGCCTTACATAACGTTAAATCCGCATACCGATACATTTTATCGCTAAGATTTTGCCTCGCATACCGCTAAAAAACCCGCTCAACGCTGTTCGTCCGAGACGCGTTTAATGTGCGGCCTTAGCCAGCCTCACATGTTCTGCCGGTGGCATTGTTTACCAGCCAGCCTCCGCGGTAACATCCAAACATACAATCGGAACATTTCGTATTATTACAGTGTTTTTGGTGATTTTATCTGCAAAATAAGTGACCATGGGCCCCAAGAAAGCTTCTAGTGCCAACCCTACAGGAATAAGGGTGAGAATTACTATAGAGATGAAGAAAGAGATCATTTATAAGTATGAAAGTGGAGTGCGTGTCTCCGAGCTGGCCAGGTTGTATAATAAACCCCAGTCAACCATCGCTACTATTGTGGGCAACAAAAAGGCAATCAAGGAAGCTGTTCTTGCCAAAGGTTCAACTGTGTTTTCGAAACAGAGATCGCAAGTGATGGAAGATGTTGAGAGACTCTTATTGGTGTGGATAAATGAAAAACAGATAGCAGGAGACAGCATCTCTCAAGTGATCATAAGTGAAAAGGCTAGGAGTTGCATCAGGATTTAATTAAAAAAATGCCTGCAACTAGTGATGATGTGAGTGAATTTAAGGCCAGCAAAGGTTGGTTTGAGAGATTTAAGAAGTATAGTGGCATACATAGTGTGATAAGGCATGGTGAGGCTGCCAGTTCGGACCACAAAACAGCTGAAAAATATGTGCAGGAATTCAAGGAGTACATAGACAGTGAAGGACTGAAACCTGAACAAGTGTTTAATTGTGATGAAACAGGCCTGTTTTGGAAGAAAATGCCAAGCAGGACCTACATTACTCAGGAGGAAAAGGCACTCCCAGGACATAAGCCTATGAAAGACAGGCTTACTCTGTTGATGTGTTCCAATGCTAGTGGTGATTGCAAAGTGAAGCCTTTATTAGTGTATCACTCAGAAACTCCCAGAGCGTTCAGGCAAAAGAATATCCTCAAGGCTAATTTGTGTGTGCTGTGGAGGGCAAACAGTAAGGCATGGGTCACTAGGGACTTTTTCTATGACTGGTTACACCATGCATTTGCCCCCAATGTGAAAGATTACCTAACTGAAACGAAATCAGACCTTAAGTGCCTCCTGGTGTTAGACAATGCCCCTGGTCATCCTACAGATGTGGCAGAGCGACTTTATGGAGACATGAAGTTCATTAAGGTGAAGTTTTTGCCTCCTAATACAACTCCTCTAATGCAGCCCATAGACCAGCAGGTTATTGCAAACTTCAAAAAACTGTACACAAAAGCTCTGTTTGAAAGGTGCTGTAGTGACCTCAGAAACTCAACTGACTCTAAGAGAGTTTTGGAGAGATCACTTTAATATCCTCAATTGTGTAAACCTTATAGGTAAGGCTTGGGAGGGAGTGACTAAGAGGACCTTGAACTCTGCTTGGAAGAAACTGTGGCCAGAATGTGTAGACAAAAGGGATTTTGAAGGATTTGAGGCTAACCCTGAGAGGAGTATGCCAATTGAGGAATCAATTGTGGCATTGGGGAAGTCCTTGGGGTTGGAGGTTAGTGGGGATGATGTGGAAGAGTTAGTGGAGGAGGACAATGAAGAACTAACCACTGATGAGCTGATAGATCAACTTCAACAGCAAGAGGCCAGACCTGAGGAAACTGGTTCGGAGGAGGGGAGAGAGAAATTGAAGAAGTTGCCTACTACAAAGATTAAGGAAATCTGTGCAATGTGGCTGAAAGTGCAAACCTTTATGGATGAAAATCACCCTCACACAGCTATTGCAAGCCATGCTGGTGACTATTACACTGACAATGTTGTGAAACACTTTAGGGAAGTCACAAAGGAACGAGAGGTACAGGACACTATGGACAGATATGTTGTGCGACAGAAGTCCAGTGACTCTGAAGCTGGTCCTAGTGGCATTAAAAGAAGAAGGGAAGTAACCCCAGAAAAGGACTTGACACCTCAAGTCTTAATGGAAGGGGATTCCCCTTCTAAACATTAAGACTCTCTCCTCCTCCCATCCCA